AAAATTGAAAATCCCCAATTAAATACCAAATTTGAAATTCTGAAAATCAAAAGATAGATTAATAAAATTGAAATTAAGAAAACTATTGAACTAATATGTACAACTAAGAACTGGTTTTATGAAAAAAACCCCAATAAAATAGATAAACCTTTGGTTAATTTGATGAAAAAAAAGAAAGAAGAAAATCAAATTACCAGCACTAAAATTGAAAAGGGTGAATCCACCACCAATGAAGAGGAAATCAAAATAAGAATTAGGAGCGATTTTGCCCAACTGCATACCAATAAATTTGACAGTCTTAGTGAAATGGATGAATATTTACAAAAATATAAATTACCCAGAATAACAGAAGAGGAAATAAAATACTTAACCCCATTTCAGAAAAAGAAATTGAACAAGCCATCAATGAACTGCCTAAGAAAAAAATCTCCAGGGCCAGATGGATTTACAGGTGAATTCTATAAAACATTTAAAGAACAACTAATTCCAATACTATATAAACTATTTGGGAAAACAGTGAAGAAGGAGTCCTGCCAAATTCTTTTTATTATACAAATGTGGTGCTGATACCTAAACCAGCAAGAGCCAAAACAGAGAAAGAAAATTACAGACCAATTTCTCTAATTAATACAGCTGCAAACATTTTAAATAAAATATTAGCAAAGAGATTACAACTTATCTTGAGGATAATACACTATGACCAGGTAGGATTTATACCAGGAATACAGGGCTGGTTTAATATTAGGAAAACTATCAGCATAATTGACCATATCAGCAACAAAACTAACAGAAATCATATGATTATCTTAATAGATGCAGAAAAAGCAGTGGACAAAATACAACACCCATCCTATTAAAAACATTAGAGAACATAGGAGTAAATTGAGTCTTCCTTAAAATGATGAGAAGCATCTACCTAAAACCTTTAGCAAGCATTATATGTAATGGGGATAAGGTAGAAGTGTTTCCAATAAGATTGGAGGTAAAACAAGTATGTCCATTATCACTACTGTTATTCAATATTGTGTTAGAAATGTGAGCTGTAGCAATTAAAGAAGAAAAAGAAATTGAATGAATTAGAATAGGCAAAGAAGAAACAAAGCTATCACACTTTCCAGATGATATGATGGTATATTTAGAGAATCCTAGAGAATCAAGTGAAAAATTACTTGAAATAATAAACACATTTAGCAAAGTTGCAGGACATAAAATAAATCCACACAAATCATCAGCATCTCTATATATTATTAACAAAGCCCAGCAGGAAGAGATAGAAAGAGAAATTCCATTTAAAATTACTGTAGACATTATATAATATTCAGGAGTTTACTGCCAAAACAAGGAACTATATGAACATAATTACAAAACATTTTTCACAAAAATAAAGTCAGATCTAAATAATTGGAAAAATATCACTCCGGGGTAGACAAAACTAATATAATAAAAATGACAATTCTACCTAAATTAATTTACTTATTCAGTGCCATACCAATCAAACTACCAAAAAATTGTTTAATAGAGCTAGAAAAAAGTTACAGAATTCATCTGGAAGAACAAAAAGTCCAGAATATCAAAGGAACTAATGAAAAGCAATGTAAGGGAAGGTGTCCTAGCTATACCTGACCTTAAATTGTATTATAAGGCAATAATAATCAAAACTACTTGGTACTGGCTAAGAAATAGAGTGATGGATCATTGGAATAAGTTAGGTATGCGAAACACAATAGTCAATGACTATACTAATCTACTGTTCGATGAATCCAAAGACTCCAGCTTCTGGGATAAGAAATCACTACTTTAGCAAAAATTGCTGGAAAAACTAGAAAAATGTATGGCAGAAACTGGGCATAGACCAACATCTTGCACCTATACCAAGATAAAGTCAAAATGGGTACATGATTTAGATACAAAGATTGATACTATAAGCAAATTAAAAGAGTAAGGAATAGTTTACCTTTTCAGATCTATGGAGAAGGGAAGAATTCATGACCAAATAACAGATAGAGAACATTATAAAATGCAAAAGGATAATTTTGATTACATTAAATTGAAAAGTTTTAGCATAAATAAAGCTAATGCATCCAAGATTAGGAGGGAAGTAGAAAACTGGAAAAGAATTTTTACAGCCAGTGCCTCTGATAAAGCCTTCATTTCTAAGATATATAGAGAACTGAGTCAAATTTATAAGAACAGAAGTCATTCCCCAATTGATAAATGGTGAAAAGAAATGAACAGACACTTTTCAGATGAAGGAATCAAAGCTATCTATAGTCATATGAAAAAATGTTCTAAATCATTATTGATTAGAGAAATGTAAATCAAAATAACTCTGAAGTACTACATCACACCTATCAGATTGGCTAAAATGACAAAACAGGACAATGCTAAATATTGGAGAAGATGTGGGAAAATTGGAACAGTAATACATTGTTGGTGGAGTTGTGAAGTGATCTAACCATTTTGGAAAGTCATTTTGAATTATGTCCAAAGGGCTATAAAAATATGCATACCCTTTGACCCAGCAATAGCACTTCTAGGGCTGTATCCCAAGGAGATCATAAAAACAGTAAAAAGATCCACATGTACAAAAATATTTATAGCAGCCCTTTTTGTGGTTGCCAAGAATTGGAAATTGAGGGGATGCTCATCAATGGGGGAATGGCTGAGCAAGTTGTGGTATATGAATGTAATGGAATACTATTGTGCTATAAGAAAGAACGAGCAGGCAGACTTAAAAAAACAACCTGGAAAGACTTACATGAACTGATGCAAAGTGAAATGAGCAAAACCAGGAGAACACTGTATGTAGTAACAGCCACATTAGGGGATAACTGACTTTGATAGACTTGGCTCTTCACAGCAATGCAGGAATCTAAGACAACTCCAAAAGACTCATGATGGAAATTGCTATCCATCCCCAGAAAATTTGCTCTTCTTTTCCTTTGTTGTTTTGTTTTATTGCTGCATTCTCAAGTTTCCTCCCATTAGTTCTAATTGTTCTTTACATCATGACTAATAGAAAATATGCTTAACGAGTGTATATGTAGAGCCTATATCAGACTGTACATCCTCTTGGGGGGTAAGTGGGAGGGGGAAAAATTTAAAACTCAAAATCTTATGGAAGTGAATGTTGAAAACTAAAAATAAATATATTAACTATCAAAAACAAAACAAAAAAAACCTATCCTGACAATTCTTCTGGGATACACGTGGTATATGCACTATTACCCCTGTTTTCTAGCTCTATGAAATTACATGACTTGTTAACGGGACAGCTAGGTGGTATGGTGGATAGAGCACCTAGCCTGGAGTCAAGAAGATGAATTCAAATCTAGCATCAGACACTTAGCAGCTGTATGACTCTGGACAAGTCACTTAACTCTGTTTGTCTCAATTTTTTTTCACCTGTAAAATGAGCTGGAGAAGGAAATGGCAAACAACTCTGCAAGAAAACCCCAGTATTGGGTCATGAAAAGTTGGGCATGACTGAAAAGACTGAATAACAACAACAAATGATAATGCAACAAAGAAGAATCTTTGGGGTTGGAGGAATGATTTGAACCCAGGTTTGCTTGATGCCAGATTCAGCACTCTACCTACTACCCCATTCTGCCTCTATGGTAGTAAGGAGAGGAGAGGACATACCAAGAGGAAAGGATGGCATGAGCAAAATCCTAGAGGTGAGAAAGCGCAAAGTTTTTCAGGTGATAATGAAGAGATTAGTCTAATAGGAGCAGAAGTCTCCTGCAGGGAAGCAGTGGAAGAAATGGGTAGTGAGGTGGCTCATGTGGAAGGCCTGTACTCTCCTCGCCTAAGCCATTGTGGTGGTGGAAAGAGCCCTAGATCTGGGATGGAGAGAAAAAGGTTTCAAATCTCACATCTGCTGTTCATTAACAAGTCTCTTACATTCTCTGTGTCTCAGTTTCCTCATCTGTATAATCATCATGCTAATACTTTACTATCTGTCTCATTGAGCTGATGTCAGAAAAGTGATTTATGAATTGATGCAGGGCATATAAATATTGATTGATTGATTGATTAAGGCTCTATAGAAATTTGAGTTACTGTTCTTCTGCAAAGGAGAACTTTAATCTCCTCCTCAAACATTTGACTAGGACAACTAATGAAACAAAATGGTGGGATTGAGTTTTCCTTATCTCTCTGTTTGCCCATCTTTTGGCCAGGTTGACAATGAATAGTGAAATGGCAAAAAAGATAGGTAGCAAGAGAAGAAAGGAGTAGTCTATTAATTAGATAATCAAGCCTCAGGATAAATAGGAAGTAGTTGCACTCTGAACTTCCTTTCTCTTAGGATAACTAGGTAGTGTAGTAGATAGAATATTGGCCCTCATCCTCATATAGTTTGCTTCCACTTCTGTTTGACAATGGTAGAAAAAGGAGCAGAGAGTTCTAAGAACCATTCAGGTCTTTGTTCACAAACACTAGTTTACTTAGGTCAATTGGTGGTGTGGTAGATGGAGTGTTGGATTTAGGAAGACCTGAGTTAAGATTCTGTCTCAGACATTTACCAGTTGTGTGACTCTGGACAGGTCAAATACCGTCTCCCAGCCTCAGTGTCTTCATTTATAAAATAGACATCATAGGGTCATTGTGAGGATCAAATAAGATAATGTATGCAAAGTGTTTGGTAAACCTTAATATCTATATAAAAATATGCAGTGGTATAGTGGCTAGAGAGCCAGGCCTGGAGTCAAGAAGACCTGAGTTCAAATCTGACCTCAGTTACTTACTAGCTGTGTGACCCTGGGCATGTGTGACCGGAGGCATTTGCCTCTGTTTGCCTCAGTTTCCTCATTTATAAAAAGGGGATAATAATTGCCCCTACCCCCAGGGTTGTTATGAGGATCAAATGAGATAATAGTGCCTGGCATATAGTAACTGCTATGTAAATGTTAGCTATCATTAACTACTATTATCATTCCCACCAACTGCTTCAAACCTGAATTAGTACTGTCCAGAGTACAGTGATTCGGGTTGTATTATAGAAGGCAAAGGTATCTGATCCAGTTGGCCTTTTTAACTCTTGCTCCTCACTTAATTTGTTGGCTTACATGGAAACCAGGCGGTATTATTAGTGGTGATGTTGGTGGGGAGCTAAAAGGAATTCTTCCACCCAGTTCTTTTACAGTTTTGGAGTCCTCAGGATAACTTGAAGGGACCCTGTAGGAGTTAAGAGGAATATCATTACACAATTTATATAAGACTAAAGGATTCTACAACAGCAGCAGCAGAACAACAGAAAAGGAATTAAAAAGACTTCCTCTAAGGCCAAAGAGTTTTGCTAGTTTTTGCCAGGAGAGTGGTTGCAGTAGTCTTGTGTTATGACTAAAAGAACTTTTAATTCTTGTGAGGGGTAACCAAAATTACTGTGCTGCCAAATTAGAAGACGGTTTTCCATGTTCCTATTCCTACTCCATCCTCTATACAAGTTTTTACTTCTCCCCTGCTGCAATCCACCTTACACAGTGCAGTCAGAATCATTTTCCTAAAACGACATTCATATGCCTCTCTCTGACTTCTTTGCGCTAGTGCCCAGTGCTTCTTGGTATGTGCCAGACTCGGTGGGTTTGGACCTACACTTTTAGCCCCATTGGATTCTTAGTTCACTTGACATTGTGGACCACACACTTGTCACAGGTATCAATCAGTACTGAGAGTTGCTTAAGTGATACTCCTGGTAGGGCAGTGCTACCTACGAGTAGAGCCTACGGATTGGCATCTGCCTTTAAAAGCCTTAAGCAGGTTCTGCTCATTTCTGGTTTAGGCTTCTACTTATCTGGCTGCCTCTTCAGTGAACTACAATGCTTATCCTTGGAGAAGGCTGCCATGTCCTGTGTGTTCCTGGGAGAGCAGGGGCTTATGATGGCACCTATTCTGAATGTTGCATTGATCTTTGGCCATTCCAGGAGCTGGTCCCATGCTAGGGAAGCCACCAGCAGCTTGGTAGTCAGGGATGAGGGTAGCTAACAGTCTAAGATACAACCATATAAAACCGTACTCTTACAGATGGCTAAAGGTGAGTGGAGGGGGTGAAAGTCAGTCACTATGACTGGCATAAAATTCAGCTGAACTTCCTATTCAAGTCCCTCCACAATCTAGCCCTTTTACTCCTCGCCACTGTTTACGCCAGTTCATTGTTAACCTAGGCACACTATGCTCATTCTTCCTGATATACCTGTGTTTCTCTTCACCTAAAATGCCTCCTCCCACTTCTGTATCAAAATCCTAGCAGTCCTTTAAAGTCCAAGAAGAGTGGAAAGGGAACCCAATCTGGGTTTGAACTCAGGTCCTATCTGGTGCTTCCTATGTATTGTTACTGTTGTTGAGCTGTTGAGTGGTTTTAATTGTGTCTGACTCTCTGTGACCCCAATATGGGTTTTCTTGACAAATACACTGGAGTGGTTTGCCATTTCCTTCTCCAGCTCATTTTACAGATGATGAACTGAGACAAACAAGGTTAAGAGACTTGCCCAGGGTCGCAGAGCTACTAAGTGTCTGAGGCCAGATTTGAACTCAGGTCTTCCTGACTCTAGGCCTAACACTCTTTCCACTGTGCCACTCAGCAGCCCTTACTACCTGTGTGACCTTGGAAAAATTGTGTCATCTCTCTAGGCCTCAGATACCTCATCTATAAAATGAAGGAGTTGGGTTAATGATGATCTTCTACCCACCCATTTGAGCACGTAGTATCATGTCTGTTGGCACGTGGTAGGTGCTTAGTAAATATCTATTGACTATTGACTAGTCAAACACTTTTATTTTACAAGTGAAGAACTGAGACTCAAAGAAGTTATGTGATTTGCCTACGGTAACACAGGTAGGCAGTGGCAGATCTGGATTTGAATCTAAGTCTTTTGAAAAACAACACTAACAACTTTTAACTCCAAATCTGCTGCTATCTCATATTCATATAGTTCACATATTTTCACATAATTAATCACATATAACATTGTATCATTATTTAAAATTATTTTATTGATATCTTTCTAATATTAACTACATTTCTCCCCATATCCCTTCTCTTCCCTCTATCAAGAAAGTCATCCTTTATAACATTTTTTTTTAAAAAGAGAAATATGAGGGGGAAATCATCAAAACCAATCAATACATCTTCCCCCCAAAATATCACATTATTTCCAATGTTCCACACCTATGGATCTCTACCTCTGGAAAAGATTGATGTTGTTTCATAATTTGTTGCAGGGACTCAGTTTGTTCCTTATAATTTCTCAATACTAAGTTTCGATTGTTTCATGATAATTTTTAAATTTACGTTGTAGTCACTGTGTATATAATTTTCCTGACTCTGATTACTTCATTCTATATCAGTTCATGTACATCTTTCCATGTTTTTCTGTACTCATTATGTTAATCATTTCTTACAGTACAGTATTGTTCCATTAGATTCACATACTACATTTATTTAGCTATTCCCCAATTAAGGGATACCTACTTTGTTTCCAATTCTTTGCTTCCACAAAGAGTGCTACAATAAATATTTTGGTATATTATAGGACCTTTCTTTTTATCTTAATGGTGCTAATCATTCTTTTAGAGAGGCAGTATGATATATTGTAAAAGAAGCTACCCCCTTTATCTAGGTAAAAATCACTCTTTTATACCCAAAGCCACAAACTTGTGATTTTGATACCTTAAAATCAACTTTTAAAAACAAATTCGGCTGGTAGGGAGAGCAGGGGTGAGACATAGGTAAGGAGGGACACAAGGCAACACAGGGAGGGAAATGTTAAACATGCCGTGATGGATGGTGGAGAAGGATATTATGGGACAGGGATGAAAAATATGAGATCAGGTTGGGGAAGTGCTGACTTGGGGGTCTGGGCTGGTAAGGGGAGGAAGCATCATCTTACAGCTTCCTATCTTAGCTATCAGTTATTTCTAAATAAGTGGTAACTAAGCTCAATTTTTTTGCTGCAGAAGGCGACTAAGTGATATCAGTACCCAGGGGCAAAGCCTTGGTCCCAGACCCTACTTAAGTCTCTTATGTGTCTAAGCTTTTTGTTGTCCTCTGAAGGTGCTGCCTTTGGTTTTGTGGCCTGTCCTCCTGTACCCTTAAGGGAGCCTTTTGTGGTAGACCTAAGCTGTGGCTTTATTAGAAGCAATCATTAATTCTCTGTTCTCTTTTTTCAGTTCAGACTCTGATCCCTAGTAACATGTTTAGTATATTTGAGAGATGAGGGAAAGATGGATGGAATAAAGGGAGGTAGAAGAAATTCACTAGGTTGTCTAGTGCTTGGGAGTCACAGGTGTCCCAGTGCTATGTCCACCCATGCCTTGATTGATTGACATCTCAGTTCTTCCTATAACTTCTGCTATTGGCCTACAATCCCGCCACTTCTCTTTCCTAGAATTATGCAATTTTTTTTTTGCCACTAGCCAATTTGCCAATAACTTTATGACTTTAGCTCTTCTTTTTACTCTCCTCTCACTAAAGCCTACTCATAGTCCATTCTTAGTTCTGGTTTCTGTCTTGCATAAATCCCTAATTTCTTAAATTAATTCATCCTCTGTTCCCCAAATTGTTGACTCCCCTGTAAGGATAACTGTCAAAGATGGTCTTGACATCTTTCATGCCTTCTTCACCTTATAGATCTATGCCCATAGTCATAGATCTGAACACTCAGCCAAAGAAAGAGAAAAAAAAATCACCAATTAGTTATTTGGAAGAAAGTGTGAAACACTTTAAAAATAAAAGCAACTACTCTGTATTTAGAGTCCAAAGACTTGGGTGCGAATGCCATCTTGGCCACTTACTACTTGTACAGCATTTAAACTTGCTAGAGCTTAATTTCTCCTCTATAAAATGAGTGGAATGGATTACATGATCTCTGAAATCTCTCTCCCCTCTAAATCTGTGGGCTGATAAAGAGCCAAATATTTAGAAATTAATAGAGGTTTCTGGAGAGTAAATAAAAACTTGTGACCCCAAAGCAAAAGAGAAACAGGTTACCTCCAAACTCGTTTTCCTTATGGTGAATTGTCATACTGCACTAAAAGGTTGCTCTGGTGACTAACCTTTTTTCTCCCAAAGTGATAAAGTATAACCCCAGACTAGATTTGTTGCAGAATCATTGGAAAAAAGATGAAGACTTGAGCAGATTAAAGGAGCAAAAAAATGAAACTTCAGACACGCTAATGAGAAAAGAGGGGAAGAAACAGGCCATTGAAGATGTCTGCTTAGCACTGAGCTATAAATTCTCTCTCCAATTATTTCCCTTCAGCCAGCTGTGCTGTGTGACCCTTTGCTTTGCCCAGGAGGCCTTCCATTTTTTAATGGAGTATGACAAGGTAGCAACTCACTCAGGCTGAAGGCTTTGGGCTCTTCCAAATAAGAAAGATGTGCAAATCCAGCTACTATATAATAGATACTACATATTTTTGATATGTGAAGGAGCTAATAATTTCTTTCTTTGAATATTTTAAACATGTTATTGCTTAAATTGTCACAACAAAAATATGAAGACATTATAATAACTGACACTCTTATGGAGCATTTTAAAAATTTGCAAAAATGCTTTTACATGCATTTCCCCATGTAAGCTATACAACAACCCACTGAGTTAGTTATTATCTAGGTATATTATTATCCTTATGTTACAGATGAAGAAACAGGATCAGAGAGGAAAAGTGACTGGCCTAGGACCACACAGCCTAGGAATTAGCAGTGATGGGATTTGAGTCCAGGTTTCCTGACTCCCATGCCAGCACAAAATCTACCCCACACTGCCTCTAATGTAAATTGTATGCCTTCCACTTAAAGGAATTATATCAATTGTTACATAAAATAGATTTACCCTTATTCTCTCCTGTTTGATTCTCATGTTAGAGTGATTGTTCCTTTTGTGTATGGGTTGGACTTGCTGGGAACTGTGATGCCTTCTGACTCTCAGATTTCTATGATTCTGCAATTGGATTTTCAGAACTACAATTTGAGGATTAGTTACAGAGCATGCCACATACCTGACCTAAAAATGTCATTTGAAAATACTGGGTAAAGCAAAGGGCAAAAGGTTACAGAGGAGCAATGGCATGGTTGGATACTGGTGAAACAAGCTTATTATTACATGTAGGATTACAGTATATAATAATTAGTAATAATAATGATAATGAGGATGATGATGATTATCATAGGTAGCCTT